TGGAAACAAATGTCGTTCAAGGGGTAGAAGTTAAAATCTTCAAATCCCGGCGAATTCATAGCACAAAATAAACCAAACCATACGCGACAGATACGTCCACGTTACTTACATATCACGAGTTCAAGTTTACTGAACCGCAAATTCCGCACTACCCCTCTTTCAATGTCCTGTGGAATGTGCACCACAAGTCTATTCTGCTTAGCATGCTCCAACCGAGTGCACAAGGTTGGTCCAAATAGTGGGTCTGGTCGGTCTGCTTCAGACCTCTAAATGCGACCTCCAGTATAATCATGTGCTCAAAAAAATGAACTGTATCCGGAGGGACAGAGAGAACCGCTTAACGAGCTCCTTATCGATACCAGTGTGTTCACATAATCGACAGATATACTCAGACTGAACAGGCACACAAAAACCGTTGTCTTCCACCACCGACACTATCATTCGGCACAAGTGGTTTGGAGGCGCTTATCTCCTTTGCTGTGTTCACATTTTTGCAATCAAAAAGGGTCTAACTACTCAATGTGATTATGAATGCAAAATGTTGCAGCACATTCCTGAATTACACCAGCCGTATATATTTCAGCCTATGGAACCACGCGTGAATCGGGCACGCATATCCATATCCCAGGATCAGATCCGATTGCACTTTATCACCACGGATCTTTGTAGCAATGACGACTTAGAAAGGTTTGAAACTAGTTGATGTTTCCTCATGAGGCACAAGTTGTCGATCACTCATTTGGGATTCCGAGAGCAAAGGTGTGCGCGTTTGATGCCAATTAAACAAATGCGTCTATTGAGTTAGATATGATCCTGAAAAATCCATGAGAACTCACGGAATCCAGGGATTGTGTTGTGCTTTGATATGGGACGGGTATCGTTCCTCGGGGGTGGGGGTGAGGGGATATTAACTCTCCAAATGCCAATACAGTTAATGGACGACGGAACTGCTTAGTAGTCGACAAAGAAAACTGGGCAGCTGTTTAATGTGGTCCACTATTCAAGATGGATGCAGAAGACAATCAGATGAACAGGCGTTTTGAACTGGGAACGGTGTTCTACCCACTTAGTGAGTTTATTTGGGTGAGAACGTCGATTTCTGATGCCGACAGTGATCTGAGTTTGAAAGTAAATATAAGCAGAGGTGAAGAACCAAGATAAACTCCCACTAAATTCTTTGATCACCAAAATGATTTTCACCAGGGTCCTTGCAAACTTAGTGACATCCAAGTTTTGTTCATAAACTAGCACTACACTGCTTCTAACCTTACGCCCGTCGAATTTCGGTCCCAGAACAAAAAGTCGTTGCCCAGGATATACACGGCCACTGAAGATTCGTGCAAGAGCCACGAATTCCACATCAGCGAATGGATTGGTCGAGAGTAGTGGGGACCGCAAGAGAGCCATTCTAGCATCTGTTTCGGCACCAGACTTGGTGGATGACACTTGGGTGTCTGTATTGGGTAGAGCTGGCTCCTGAGGGTCAGTCGCTTTGAGTTCCGAATCGTCCGGATCTCGAGTCGGTCTGATAACAGGCACGCCTGGAGGTCGCGGTCTGTGCAAACAAAAAAGACAGTGTATGTATTCAATAATCTTTTGTGATCTAACAATACGGAACGTAAAAAATGATATACCAGTCTGTTGCAACATCAAAGCACCAAGCAAAAGGAAATTCAAAAAACGGATGTCGTGGATAAACATAAGCAAAAATAATCAATTTGAATAAAAGATTAAAAACCATCGATTGTATATCAGGTTATTTCTCTCGGAGAGAATGATCACTTCAAGCTGCCGAGTTTTGGTGGGAGGAAAAAGAGACGTGATTGAATTACGAATAGAATTCGTCCGAAAGAACAGACAAAGATAGATGAATAAAATTAGAACTATGTTCCGGAACACTGAATTGCCAACCGGAGCTGCTGTCATTGAGAATACGCAACAGAACAAGTTGGTGAAACGGGCTCATAGTCAAATGAAAAAGATCTTGTGTATTACACGTTTTACTAATACGGGTAGAGGCCTACCCGAAGAAAGTGCTATCCATTCAACAATTGAAAGAGTTCATTACACAATCTAAACTATGAATATTGCAGTACCTTTGCTAGTTTGATTATCAAACTAGAACAGTGCCATGCTGTGAAAAAAGATAAAGACAAAGCTAAAAATTAACATTTTACGAAAATTCACAGCGTCCGTCTAAAAATTAACATCACGCGAACACCACATCATAGGTTGCTGATTGCAAATCAGGGTTATTATACACACCGAAATGTCAACTGCAGTGGTAATGGTGGGCAAGGTCATCAAAACAGCGGCCAGGAAGTTGTATATTCGAATCCCGTCACCGGCGCTAGACTTGAACATTGTGAACATTTCTTAAACATTTCTGTATCTGTCAAGAAACCCAAGAATTGGCCGCAGTTTCCTTGAAAATTCTTCCCCCATTATATATTCAGTGAATAAAGGGGAATTAGAAACATTACCATTAAAAAATAATTCCTGAGCAGAAGACAATTCCATTTGTTGATCCTGTGATCACTCAGCCCGGTTTGTAATTCACCATAAGCTTATGTTTTAAAGGTTCACAATCGGCAACATCAAAGTATTTTATGAGTCCACCGTGGACTGGAGTCGAAAGAATAGTGATGGTGAGTTACGGACGCGAATGAAATCATCTACGATGGGGCATAAGGGTTATCTTGCTGAGTTGGTTGATTGTCCTGTACCCTCGGGGATATCCTTCTTTTATTTGGTCTCTGCCATTCACTCAGCTCGCACCTACAGCACCAGAAAGCTAGGTAGGCATCCGTGGCTACACCCCGATAAACCGCTCGATAGGTGGGATAAACCCGGTTGAGGGTAACCGAGGTCTGAAGGCCTTGGTGGGACGACGATTGGTATATCAAGGCAGCTGCTTATGAATTTACGGGCGAGATCTACCATCTAATCCAACTGCTATGAAGGGATCTCAACCAAATAACAAGGATACATGGACCCCTGGGTTGTGGCAACATGTATTGAATGGTGAATGAGCTCATACGGAACCATCTGCAACCATGTACCAATACTGCTGCCCTGCAATCCGCACTTGACTACCTGAACGCTTAAGGTGTGCCGTCGAAAAAAACACCGGATGACTCTGAACATCTCTCGTAACAAACTCCCGCGAAAGTACATGATTATCATGGAACTGGCTTATCCTCAGAAAAGTAAATAATGACTATGGGGATCAATATGCGATAAAAAGTCATGGACCGCACTTCAGTCGGAAACAAAGAAAATCAACTAAAAGAATGGGACAAAAACTGAAGAATAACGTACCCCGGTTCGGATTTTGGAGCTCGTCCAGCATCCAATACAGATTTATCTGTCCAAAACACCTTAGCCACAAACACAATAGTAGGTGCATCCTCCGCTGAATTACTAGCTTGGATGGCTGAAACATGGGAAAATTAGACGTTTGACAAGTAGTAAAGAAAGTGGACAGAGTGTGGTGAGAACAATTTCCTATAACTTGTCCTTTTTCATCTAGTGACACATCTCCACTTTTCACTTGCAACCTAATTTCTGATAGTAATCTCTAAACCATCAAGTAACAACCGATAAAGAACAAACATCTCATATTTTAAAAATATATAACCAGTTATCGGAATCAAGCCCAGGGAAGTGGTGGTGGTCATCACACTGCCCCAGAAGTCACTGGTCCAAGCCCCAATAATGCCACTCCACTTTTCCCTTTCTCGTTCTCATCATGCAACCATTGATCGAGTGAAGCTTCCTTTTTCAAGATTAAATGCAGTATTCTATATTAATAAAATAAGAGTGAAAGACTATTATCATTGTTATTGTTTGTTTTTATATAATGGTGAAGTGACTGCATCCACGCCGTCTGTCAGTTTCAGTCTGTAGAACCATTAACCGTCCACCTTCGTGCGCCGGTTTTGGTTATCTTTTGACTGCCCGTTCGGATAAAGCAGGAGAAGGACAGGAAATTTGAAAGGGTCAAAGAGAAAATGGAGCACCTCAGTGGACTAAGGTCGTAAAAAAATTGAGATGCACGAATGCCACAGTTCGCGACATCCAGTCATATCACTCATTGTCTCTAATCACCGGTGACCATGATCGCGAGGTCCTCATCCAGGGAGCCTAGCGGGACCTATATGATTGCGTCTCCTGGTAAGGGCTTTCACACTCTCGTTCCAGGTTTTATTTTGGCTTCCACTGGCTATTTTCTACCCACTACATGTCTCGGCAAACATCGCACGCCGTGGTAACCTATTTCGTGACAGTGGACAGTGGTTAACTAAAACTCTGCGCTGAACCTCAGTATTACCTGTCCGGCTACCCCACCAGACTCGTGCAATGCCGCGTAGACAGCGACGGGCGAACACCCATAGTCTACCTTTATCCTGTTTTCTTAATGGCCAAGTTTCTGCACTGTATAGCAGAATTGGCTGAACTGTCGCAGAATACACTCCACCATTCATGAACGGACGGATGTCACGTCGGTGCCACAAAAGTCTCAAGTTGGCAAATTCCAACCGAGCCCTCTGTATGCGATCTAACACTTCATCCATGATGCGTCCACCAGGTGGGATATAGCTCCCCAAATAACAAAAGTTGTCTACTTTATGTATTACTTCCCCAATAAGAGTGAGGCTGCGTGCTGGACCAACCCAGTCTTGTAGCAGTATTTTACCAAACATGGCTACACCGATAGTTAGTAGTTAATGGAGATTTGTTTTTATAATTATTTAGAAATATAACAACACAGAGACAGCAATCCAAAACCAGGTCCTGAAAAGACGTTAACCGATTTTATTATCCAATGGTGGATTTCGCAGATATTTCGGAATCCAACAGTCTCCATGTCAACCTTGACCGTTTACAGTAGGCTTTCAGCTGAAAGCCATGCCGCATTACTCGGACGGACAGTGGTTCAGATTNCAGATTCAGAGCCCGCTAGATTATCACTTAGCTGCAATCAGCGACCAAACCACTGAATGAGCCCTTTCGAAACTCGACTTGGATACCTTTCATGTTGTGATACAGGAGGCGCACTCATCTTACTGCCGGCCTAGGATATTGGGTTCGCGCATATCGTCGATGCACGGTAGCCAAAATTCAGAATTATGAGAATGCAGTGCATGAAAAGCTCGCGTATTCAAAATCTCTGCCGAACGATTCACGATTTCTTAATACGAAAGCACTTATTGGACTTAGTCGTTGAGAATTTGCCATTTTCACTTGGCCGTTAGGATCAGCAGTTACCGGAGATATCTGAAAGACCGCCAAGGTTTCCGTGATGAAATCAAAACCGATGATTTTGGGAATGTAATTACTGTGACCAAACGGCTGTTGCAAATCAGAGAAGTTATCGACCAGTAGCATAACATCGGTGAAATCTAAACTGTTTACGTATATATATCAGGCGTAACCGCGGTGCTCAATAATAGCTCTCTGTAAAGTTCACTTGACTGTGAAGTCTAACATAATAGGTAAGCCAAGAAACTTCGATGGAAAACAGTGGTCAATTGGAAAGTGTCAGACGGAGGGTCCTTCAAACTAACACCCGAACAGGAACATGCGGTATTTTCCTTAGTACGTAGATGTGTCCTGTCTGTTCGTTCTAAGGTTTTCATTCTTTGGAGGTTCCAGTGGTAAAATCAGTTAAAACAGATACATCAGGTACATCAAGAGTTCACGTACACCAAACAGTCAGATTCTCAAACTGCCCAAATTGAATTCTCAGTTTCACTACTGCAGACTTAACCAGTAGCTAGAACTTACAAATCACTAGCGTCGATTTCCGCGTCGCTTGAACCAAGCTCTGATGCATAAGCGCATACGCACACAGTCTCCCTCCGATTCGTGCACGAGTTTGTGCATACATGCGTTGAATGCAAAGCAGACAGCAAGGAAATGTTCTGGGGACAGTCTAATGAACGTGATTGAAACGGTCAGCCAATAATGGACGGGGTTGACTGTGACAGAATGACAAACACTGGTTTCCTTAGCGTCGAGGCCAGAGTTCACAGCCCCCCTTTTGTAAGTAAGTGCTGCGGCAGTGCACACAAGCACACACACACGTGAATGCACCTACAGCCTGATCGACGAAGTGAATCTATGAACATGCGGACGGCA